GTCTAAAAAAGTTGATTAGGGGGACCCCATAGAAATCTTTTATGGGGTCCCCCTAACCAACTTTCTTAGTTGAAGAAGCTGCTTGGACAAGTAGCGAAACAGCTCTAACCAAAAAGAAAAGAAGTCCAGTTGCCATGACTCAACCTTTGGATGACTGGCTACCTGGATGACTGAGAAACATAAACATATTGTGTTTTAAGTGTTTTAATTGTTTTTAGGATTGTTCACTGCCCAGAGTCACTGGTTTGAGATGGGCAGCTATACAAATAGAATGAATCAATGAATGGATGGATGAGTAAATAAATAAATAAATAAATAAATGTCAGCCAACAAAAAGTTCAAAACATAAGGGGGGGGGGGTCCACTAAATTGAGCCAAGGCCCATTTAGTCCAATATTCTGAATTACTCATGGGAGAACCAGACATACTCAGGAAGCCCACAAGCGGGGTCTCCTTCTACTATTGCTCCTCAGCAACTGGTATTCAAAGTACACTTCTTGTGCGTATAACAAAAACATACTTGGTTAATTCAGAGAAGCATTTCAGAGTGACAAAAGAAAGGGAACAACCACAAAAGGCAAGGAAATGGAGCAACTTTCCACAAGGGCAAAAGAATGTAATTTTGATCACTGGCATCACTGAGGTCAGCTGGAAAGACTTAGCATACCACGATCACACCCCACCAAAGGCATTTCAAATGGCAGAGCTAGATGGATTACTGAAGGAATTCAGTTGAAGACAGAATGCTGTACTTACTGCCAAACATTGCAAGGACTGAAGTCTGGATTCCCAAATGTTTTCCCAAATCATCTTATTTCCCCAGGGGTAGCTGTGTTAGTCTTTTGTGAATCTTAAAAGCTAACTGATTTAGAATGTCAGAATCTTTGGCAGACCTTCAGATGTATGAAGTCCTAGGCTTAACATCAAGATCAAATTCCTGCCTGTGACTAGGCTGCTGACTAAGTACAACAAAGCAATGGTGTCACCAGGGCAGAATTTCTGTGTCACTCAGCAGAGTTGGTGCAGGGTCCCCCCAACAGCAGGAGTCCATGCAAAGCAGTAGAATGCTGACTACAGCTTGAAAGGGGAAAGATGAGGATTACCACCTCGTGGGCACCCGCCAACTACTTTAGTTAGCAACACTGTGAAGTGGCCCACCAGCTCTCCCCACTGGAGCCCTTTTGTTGGACCAGAGATGATCAGAACCATGTGCCAAGAAAACTGCTCAACCAGATACCAAAAGGAAGCCTGGGGCTACAATGCTCTCAGAAGTGGAATTGCAGGGAGCAATTTCTTCTGTGATGTCCCTTGCCCCTCTCTGCATTACTCAGAGCTGTAAGCTAGGCACCACAGATAAAATGAATGCAAGGGTTTCCATCTGTGGGAAGAATATTCTATTCTGTTCTTAATTTTCTTAAAGAAAACCAGTGTCATTTAAATTTAGCCCACAGTCAGCTTTCACTCTGTCCGCAAGCCAGCTTATGAGTCACAACCTTCTGGTTTAACAGCACATCAAGAGAGTGACAACCCTACCCCCCCCCCCAAAAAAAAAGAATAAAGGAGAAAATTGGCAGAAGATGGTTGAAATGCACCAGATATATTTGGTAATCTCTTTCTTTCAAAGCTGAGTAGGTGGGAAGGATAGAGAAGCCCCCTCTTTCATGCCTCATAAAGCTGTGCAGCTGTCAGGCTAATATTTCAGGTAATTAATTACTTAGTAGGTGTTTTCGACTCTGTTCTTGCAGGAAATTGATTACCACTCCAGCAAGAAAATGGTTCTTTCACTATTTAGCAAAATAAAATATAATAGAGGTTCCCCCCTGCCCCTTTAGCAAGTACATTAAAGTGCTGGCGCCAGAAACAACCATGTCAACCTTTCCAACCAACAAGTCACTCGAGAAGAAGCAGAATCAGCTTTCCAGGGCAAGAAAGAACTTGGTTCAAATCCACTGGATTCTATTCGATACTCAGCATCATCAGCATATGATCAACCAGAGCATTTTACGTCCCTCAAAAAAACGTTTAGGTCTCTGAAGGCTGCAGGGAACACAGTGATGATATCACTGGAGAAAGCAAAATCTCCTTCTCTTTTCCAGAGAAGGAGACTTTGAACAGTTAAACTAGAAGCTTAAGCTTATTTTGAACCTACCATCGTTATTCCAAAGCCATTTTTAAAATGCCACCACCATCAATGAGTGATGGACCAGCATATTTCAAGAACGTGAACCTCAGTGTGGGTGGGTTGGAGGGCTGAGAAAGCAAGGGCAAGACCTCACCTGGCCTAGGGCATGCCAGCAACTGCTCCCCCTGCAATTACAGAGCACATTCTACTCTCCACATGGGGAACACTGCAGATTTGGATCACGAAAGATCAGAGAAGGTAGGCCTAGACATCCAAGTCTGACCAAAGGTAATAAAGTACAAGGAGCTCCCACTGCAGCCGATACAGCCAGGGTTCCCCCCCCACCCAC